AGGCGCAGTACGGCCTCTGACATCAATACGGCCCGTACTGAAGATTTGAACTACAGTACGGCCGTATTGAATTCAGTACGGCCGTACTGAAGTTCAAAAACTTCAGTACGGCCGTATTGGTTTCAGTACGGCTGTATTGTAGTTCAAAATGTCCAGTACGGCCGTACTGAACTTCTAGGAGGCCGTATTGAGCTTCAATCCTCCCACTTCCTTATTTTAAGCTACTCTAAGACCTCTAAACCTACAGACAATCATCCTAGGGTCTTCCAGGGGTCCTTCCGGCTGACTTTCCTTTGGTCTTTGAGAGTCTTCGAGTCTTATTTCCGACCCGGACAATTTTAGGGGTCTACACTGATCTCTTCCTAGATAGTATATGAACCACTCTACATCACTAATCCCCTCAAACCACCTCAATAGGAGATGTCGATCATGGTATTGTTGAAGTGTTACAACTAGCCATGGTAACCTCCCATTCTTGATAGAAGTTTCTCCACCATAACACCATCAGACATAGGTAAATGACCTATCATATCTCATATGCATAAATTTACATTATCTCACGAAACAAAAATGAATGCATGGACTTAAAACACTCAAACAACAAAACAATATGCACTGATCAACTTCTCAAGTGTCTGGTTGCAACACTTGACTTATTTATCTTATCTCATTATAGTATTTATTATAATATGTACATATCATCAACTTCAACATTTCAATGTATCCTTACATCCCAATATATATTACTCATAGTAGCTCAGTACATTGTACATCAATATAATTCTCACACATCAATTTCTTATCATATGCACATTATTAATTATTACTATACATTCTCATCAAATACTATAAAATTTATTATAACATCAATATCATAATAACTCAATCATAATAACATCATCATCAAATGTTAAATATCATCACACATCATAATTAATATTATACGTGTTATTACTCATTTTAATACTCCTATCATTGATGAACAAATTGTGAATCAATATTAAAATTTAACATAACGAATATCACATTAATGATAAAACCAATATTTTATAATTTTAAATTAGAAAACGAAAGATCTTTAATTTAAATTAGAAGATTAAAATTGCATATTGACCAAAAGAAAGTCCCCCCCCCCCAAACAATTTAATTATGTACCTTAGCCAAATTAGTATTTTTAATCAAAGACCAAATTAAATTCAAGTGATTGAGTTTGAATGTTGACTCTTATGCATACAAAAAAAAAAATTCAAGTTAAGAGAAAATATTTATATATTATACAATAAAAAATGAAATGTATAAATATTAGTCGATGAACTAATCTTATAAGTGACTTAGTGTTGCAGACTAATGTCATGATAGACTCATACTTAAACTGTTATACCTTAACATACCATACTTTTTTGTTTAAGTAACAAAATCTGATAAATCAAATTAAGTTGTTTATAACTAACTTTCTTTAAGGCCTAACATTATATTATATTTGACCTGATTGAGATGGATCTAACACTATGATTTAGTAGGCTCAAAACACTTAAATTACTCACCTTTGTTGTAAGAGATCTCTTTAGTTAACATACATGACAACACATTAATTATTAATATATGTAGACTGAGATGTTGAATATATTGAAGTTGAAAAATGTTGAGCACAGTGTTAAGTTGTGAGTTGTAATATTGTTAATATATACTTTTGTTGCCCTTATCGTATTGTTGTATGTTGTTTCTTTTGTAAACTTACCATTCTTTTTTTCTCGGGGTTGAGACTGCTATGACCATACTTGTTATATGAGCAGGGCAGAATTAGGTGGTTAGCTGGAGTGATGGTGTCCAATCACGCCAGAGGTGACTTGTTTTGTATGACTCTTTTGGTGGAGTCATGTTTCAGAGTTCTCAATCGACTGTCTAAAAGATATATTTATGTAGTTGTTTAGACTATGATGTATATAATATACAGTATACGTACAAGATTTTTATAAGATAAATATATTCTATACATTTTATCTTATGTATGGATAGTCAGTTACCTTTAGAGGTTGATTTATCTAGGTGGTTATGTTTTATCTTCTACTTTACTATGTAATAAATGTAGTAACATGTCAAATCATTACAAAATAAATTAATAAATCATTTAATAAGATATTTGAGAAAATATGATTGAAAGTTGAGACTAAAAGGTCTTTCAACACAACTTAATTATTAATGAAATTAATAAATATTTTTTTTATATCAATAATATATATATATATATATATATTTAAAAAATAATTTTTTCAATAAAATATTTGAAATTGGGGTTGTTTGGAATTTTATCATGAGGGGAATGCCATTGCAAAGTAGTTAAATAAGTGACAATCGGTGGAACATTAAAATTCACCACAAGATATTATAATATAAGAATGAATGACCAGGATTTTTAAATAATCTATTTAAAATTTGTAATTTTAAAACTGTCAAAATTTTAAACGATCGTTTTTTTTTTTATAATTTTTTATTTTTAAATTGGTGTTTAAAATTTTATTTTACTTAAATGGCTGAAATTTAAATGAATGAGTTTTAATTTAAGTCCTTTTACTTTTTTGTTTTTCATAATTATAAATTTTTTAAAAATCTTGACTGTTTAAAATTTTAACCATTTTAAAATAAAATTTTAAACTAATTAAAATCCTTATCATTTATTATTTATATCTTATTGTGAATTTTAGTCATCCATCGGTAAGAGTTGTTTCACCTGCAATTCACTTTATAACTACCGATGTAAAAAAAAAAATTATTGTCTCTCTGCGTATTTTTTACAAAATAAATATAAAATAAAAGGAAGTTGTTAACAATTAAAAAAAATTGAACAATGTTGAAGTAGTTATTGTTGATAGAGTAGTTTTAAAGTAATTTTAAGAGTAAAATTTACAGAAAACAAAAATGATCAAGAGAAAAAAAAATGAGAAATAGATATGTAAAAAAATCTAAAAGATATGTACACAACATAGAATAATACTTTTATTATTAAAATATAGTTGATTAACAAGACATTTGCTTTCGGAAACTGTATACAATATGAAATATAGATGAATAGTATAATCCTTTTTTATTATTTATTATTAAAATATGGTTTACGGTGCCGCGGCCAAAACAGCACTATTGTAGCACCTAATAATTGCTAGAGTAAATAAAAATTATTACAATAAATAATTATTAGTTATAATATTTTTAATTAATTTAAGTAAAAAAAAGATAAAACAATATTATTAGGCTTATAAGTATGGATAATCAAGGCAGAAAGCCAAAAACAAATAATGAACAGTAATTACCTAAATGAGAATTGAGAATTTCCACAGGATCCACCTTCTTTTGATGAAAACCTTGATAAGCTAAGTCATGGTACAAGGAGAAGCAACCATGTGAATGGATTGAATGAAAAATAATAAAAAGACCATTGTAAGTTCATATATGTATCTTAAACATATTTTCTCAAACGTTATAAAAGCTAAATTTAAAATAAAATATGAAGATTGTAGAGATCAAAGTTGGAGTGGTTTGTCCAAATAGAAGTCCATAGATTCTTTTTTGAAAGGAGTGAATAGAAATGATGCTGCTTTGATAATGGCAATAATTGTATGGGTTTAATACCCATTTTTTCAACGGCTCTCAGAATTCACATAAAATAATTATCCAAAATCAATTTAATTCTTTAATTATTAATCACTTATTATTATTTATTTATTTATTTATTTATTACTTATTATTATTAATCAATTTAATTCTTTAATCCAAATCCTAGTGGTGGCAGCGTGTTCGGTGAGGAAGAAAAAATGGACCATCAAATGAATGGATATTTTTGAACTACAAGTGGCAAGACTCTTGACTAGTCAACATCCCTCAATAAAGCTTTTTTTTTATTTTTATAAATATATGAAAGACAACTCTATTTAAATTAAATATAATTATTATATAAAAATTCAAACATTTAATATAATTAAATTAAATATACTATATTCAATATAAAATTTCTATATTAATTAAGGTATAACAATGTAAACATCTACTTTAAAGAATTTTAATTTATTTGTTAATGCATACATGCGTTGAGATATATTATGAACATAGATAAATAAATAAAAATTAGATAATGAAAATAATATCCATTAAAATGTATATAATATTAAAAAATTTACATAACACTTTTAAAAGTATAAATATATTATAATTATTTTTTATAAGATTTTGTATCTACTGTTATAATTAGGGGTGCAAATAAATTAGATTAGATTATGATTTAGTATATCTAATCTAATCTTTTCTGAAAAATACTTATCTTAAATAAGAATTTTTTAAGATATTTTTTAAAATGTTTGATTAAAATTATAATCTTTTTAAAAATTTATTTTATAATAATTTAACACTAAAAAAATAAAAAAAATTAAATTTATAAAAGTCAAGGTTAATATATTTATAATATAAACATATTTTTAATATAACCATTTTTTATAAACTTAAATTTTATACATACCTTAATTTAGGTATATATAAGTTTATTTTATTAGGATATAATGTTGAATTTTTAAAACATACTTTTTTTTGCTAAAAAAATATAATATATATCTTATATAAAATTGTAAAATATTAGTGGGATAGCTACTTTACTGTCTTTCGTATGAATCCATCATCCAGTATATATGATCCATAATGTTATTAAAATTTATCAATAAATTAGTTATTGGAAGATGTGCTTTATTTTGATATAAATTTTTATTTTAAAAAAAACTCATACACTTCTGCTGTAATTGAATTGAGTGATAGTGTGTGTTTACATATTAATTTAAAACTATATTAAAAAAATATACATTCTAATAAAAAAAATGTAAGTATAACATTTTCTTAAGTCTAATTTAAATTTAAGTCAACTGATTCTCCTCTGATCAATGCTGTGGGACCACGTGTAGTGAGGGTGGAAGAATTCAGGAAAGACTGAACCACCAGACACATGAAAAAAATTGGAATTCTTTATATTTATTTGTGGGTGGCCAGGAAGGAATTCATTTTTTCTTAATATCTTCTTACTCATGTCATGTCCAACACAGTATTTATTCAGAAAAAGTAAAGTTGAGTTAGATTAAAGTAAGAGAAGAAAGGTTCAATTCATTTCCATTCAAAGGCTTTGGCTTCAATTTGGATAAACTACTCTTTCTTTCATCTGGTATGTATTGCCTTCTCACTAATTTAATTTCCCCTCCTCAGTTACAAAACGCACTATAAGTTTTAACTCCGGTGTTTGATGCATACAATCTCCATTTTTAAGGTTGTCATGAGAAAAGAGGAATAGAAAAGCAGGTGAATCCGGTAGAAATCCTCAATTCTCATTCCAAATCTTGTTTAGGTAACTACTGTACATTCTTTATGCCTTGTGGCTTGTATTATCAACAAATTGACGAGTTTATGCAGTCACGTGCCTAGATCTACGTATGTGCTAATTAATTAAGACCAGAAGCACATTCAAGTGTCATAAACTATGTCAGAAAAACAAAGACAAGTAAAAAAGAAATCAATAGTATATTAAAGTTCACAATTGACAAATGTTTTTAATGTTTGTAAGCACGTTAAATTGTCAAAAATTAATAATTAGTTTTTAATTCTCAATAATATCATTTACTTGTAAATGCAATTATTTATAGCATTTAAAATAGTAATAATAGATTATCAAAATATTAAAAGGGAAATTCTTTACATTTAAATATTTTATTTAAAAGCAGAAAATGTAATTATTTCTACAACAAAGATTATAAAAATATAATATTAGTTTATAAAGAATAAGAAAATTATCATCTTAAATATAAAAATTTAAAAAGAGAATAAAATATTTTATTAAAGATAAAATAATATATATTACAAAAATAAATATGATTAAATATGTAATTAACTATATATATATATATATTAAAAAAATAAAAGAGATAGATTTTTTTTCCAAATATTACAAACTAAAAAGAGTCGGTTTTTTTTTGTCAAATTGTCTACCTTTAATTAGAAAACTTTAGGCATGTGAGACAAGATAGAAAAAAAGTGTCTTAAAATTAAAAAGAGTGTCAAATATTTCATAGATGAATATAATGTGATTGCAAATTAAGATATTGTTATCTTTTGTGCAAATATATTATATTCACCTAACAAAACTTCTTCAAACATATATATTTCTTTCTAATTAATAATAATATTTTCAGTATTTGTAATCCTGCTTATTCCCCGATTTCTTATTTTTATCTAAAGAGGTGATAACTGTACTCGTTAATTGTCAACAAAACGGTTGCTTAAGGAGGAGGAAATTGTGTTTTGTGCTCCTTAAATCTTGATAAATATATTGGTCATTTAATCTTCTTAATATTTTTTATCGAAAGGTTGTTGTCTGTTTTTTTAGTAAATAATTACTACATTTTCACATTCATTTCGATAACAGATGATGATAAATGATATATTTATTACTTTCTATATTTACCATCCACAGGAAAAACTATCGATATTGAAATTATTATAAATTAATCTCTGACGGAAGGAGTAGACATCCAGCAAATGGATTCTAATTTGAAAGGGCATGTTTCTTCCGAATATGAAACATCATCAAAACAAGATTCATACCCAAGGGTTCAAGGTGTAGATGTTGGTTGGTTTTATTCTTATCAGATGAAGACAGAGTTGACGAGTTCAAATTTGATGAGGATAAGGGATTTTATGAGCCTCTTGTTGACTTATCCAATGAAATTAGACGAGGAAGATATACTCAAATCCTGGCTTGCTGCATTTTCTGAACGAAAAGCTCACCTATTGTCCTATGGTGAGGATGATATTGTGATGATAGACAAACCATGGCTTGAACTAACTGAAAAGGCATTCAGACGCATGCAAGTATTTATTCCAATGCAAAGAATTTGGGGGAGATCCATCCAAAACCATGTAACGCCAGAAGCCATCCTCCCCATGGCAGTTGATCTTGCAGTTGACCAGCTAATTCAAACTTTGTTTTCTAGAGATTGTTCCGCACGCTATATCAGACTGTTAACTAGAAACTTGGTTGAAAAAACATCTGTAGTGAACAAAGTAGCAGCAGCCTTGGAAGAGAAGGAAAACGTGTTTGGAACTGACAAGGATTTTCTGAGAGCCCTATGGATCGATGCCTCAACATATGGGACTAATGCAGAGGTTCGAGTTCAAGAAGAGATCAATACAATGATGGCAGTAGGTTTTCCTGTGGCAGAAGACGATGACGAGTTGCGTGCTCAATACATTGAGGAAAAGATGGCAAGTAATAGGCATTTGGTGATTGTAGTCAATGCTAACAGCAACAAGAAGTTGGACCTACAACAGGTGCATTTCCCTACTGGAATTGTGGTGTTGATAACCACTGAATTGCCAACACAGGTAAATAACAATGATGACTTTAGGATTACATGCATGATGGATTTGAATATTAGGATCCAGGATCATCTGTTGCATTGGCAAGTCTTTTGCCGCTATGTGAATTATAGCACGATACGTTCATCATCGACCATTCAGAGAATTGCAGCACAAATAGTTAAGGAATGCCATGGTCATCTTCTTGCCATTGTCCTTGTGGCAAATTACTTGAAACATAGGCAACAAGTTAGACAATGGGAACTTGCACTTGTCAAATTGCTCAGCCTGAATCCTTCCTATGATTATCAAGGTAGTGATAGAATTGGCATTAGTAGAGTCATGGTCAATGCATTCGTAAATATTATTTGGGAAGACATTAATCGTGGAGAAAAGCTTTGCCTTGAACGCATGTTGTTTGTTCACAACATTAAAATCGGAGTGCAAGCTGACATCTTGGAGTCTATGTTTTCGACTTTATTAGGACATAGTAGAGGAGAGAGATTTGCACAGCCTCTCATCAAAATGCTTCAAGATCGTTTTGTCTTGTTGAACGATGCGAGTGCAGATTTTTATGTGCCGGTAGAAACCTATGATATAATAAAATCATTACACACCTCGAATCCTTCCATCATAAGTCAGGGTGCATTAGGATTAACAGAGTTACCCTATATTGGACGATGGCATGGCCTTATTCGAATAGAACTGATGGACAATGAAATATGTGAGCTACCACAATCACCAGATTTTCCTAAGCTCCTAGTGTTGTTGTTGCAGGGCAATGCTGATTTGTTGGATATTCCTGACTCATTTTTTGACCACATGCCTCTGCTACAACACCTGGACTTATCCTACACCAGTATAAGGGATTTGCCCCCATCTGTCTCCAAACTCACACAACTCAAGAAATTTTATCTTAGGGGTTGTGATCTCTTCATGGAACTACCCCCTCAAATTGGACAGTTAAAGAATCTCGTAGATTTTGATCTTGACGGGACTTTGATAACCCATTTGGCAGAAGAGATCAGAGAATTGATCAACTTGCAAAGCTTAACTCTCTGCTTTGATAGATACCATCATTTACTTGGTTATGGTAAAAAAAGCAAGCAAAATTCTAATTCAACAATAATTCCTCCAGGATTGATATCAAAGCTTACTCGATTGAGTTATTTAAGCATCAATGTTGACCCTGAAGATGAGCGATGGAATGAGAATGTTGTTAGTGTTTTGGTCGAAATTTTTGGATTAAAGAAGTTGCAAAAGGTGAGTATATATGTCCCAAAGGCTGAACTTCTAGAACTCATTCCCTCCACAAGATTCCTCAATTTCAAATTGGTTGTTGGTCATCATGTGAAACGGTTCATATCGCGTGTAACACCTGAATTGGAGCAAAAATTCAAAAATTGTGACTATAGTATAAAGTTTGTTAATGGTGTAAATGTTCCAAATGGAGTGAAAATGAATCTTGGACATTTCAAGGCCTTGTACCTAGACCGACATATGACCATCAAAAGTCTATCTGATTTTGAGTTGAGGAATTTATCTGGGCTACAAGTATGCATATTGGCGGAATGTAATGAAATGGAAACAATTGTTGATGGGAGTTATTTACATGATGAGCATGCTCTTCCAAATTTGGAGTTTTTGAGTGTATTCTATATGAAAAATTTAAGAAGCATTTGTGAAAGCCCTGAACGCTCCTTTCTCCACTTGAAATCTATAGCATTGCACACTTGCCCCATGTTAACTACCATCTTCACTTTTGAGTCTCTTTACAACCTTTATTTTTTGGAGGAGATTATTATTGAAGACTGTCCAAAAGTGACCACTCTTATAAGTCGTGATTCACCAGAACAAGAAAGTGCAGAGCGTATCCTCCACAGGTTGAGAATGATAACACTTCTCTACCTTCCTGAGTTGGTCAATATTTTTAATGGTTTGCATGTTTATCATACTTTAGAAAAGATGGTATTTTATTATTGTCCAAAACTCCAAAGCCTTTCGAAATTGGAATTGTCAAGCAAATCCTTGAAAATTATCAAAGGAGAAAACAAGTGGTGGGAAGCATTGAAATGGAATGCAGCGGAGTGGGGGGATGCAGGTCGACCCATTTTTCTCGAACCAATTTTTTCTCCAATAAATGAAGAGGATGACATATTAACCCAACTAGCTGCACATCAAGGTTTCATGTATTTGGTAATTTTTACTTATCATCTTTCCAAATTTCATGATGTTGGTGGTATGCAAATGATTATAATAAATAAGTAAAATTTCGTATCAAGCATTCTTGATTGATCACGAGTAAAAGTAGATCACCGTTTAACTCTGGCTTCTTTTTTTTTTTTGACTATTATCTTCCCTTCTTCTTAACATCTTTTTAATTTTGTTGCTTATTTCCATTTCAGCCAATTTCAAGTTCTGGACGGTTGATGGACCAATCGATATCAGTAAGGGTAATAAGGAGGTTTGAAATGCCTCATCACCGTTCCTGATTCATTGCTTTTGGTTTCCTTACATGCACAACCTGGTTTGCTTAGGTTAATTGACCAATTTTGGATCATTATAGAAACATATTGCTTACTTCATTTCATAATGAACGTGGTTATAGATTTTTTACATATATTAAAAAAAAAATTAGAAACAAGTAAAAAAAATAATTTTACAAAATTAACTTGATGTTAATCTTCTTTAATGGAAACAATCCAATACAATAATCAATTTTTAAATAATATTATGAGGTGTATGAATGAAAAATGATTAATTAATACTACATTAATGTGCCATTTTTGGAAATATACTCTAATATTTTACTCTTTAGCAGAAAGTAGTGCTAAAGGTGGCCATATACGATGACAAAATTAAGGAAAAAGTCATGAAGATGGTCTCCGGTCTTGTAGGTATGAATTTAAATTTCAACCTGTTTTCACTTTCTCTTATAATTTCTATATTTTTTTAATGCTCAAGAAATCAAATAAAAAAGATAAAAGGAAAAATCAAAGAGAGAAAAACCACATGTTACGTTCTTATGCGGCTAGTACCTAGAAATTTTGTTGTATGTAATATCTAAGATTGAATGATTTAAGGAGTGATTATTGTAGAGGTTGATTCGGTCTCTGTGGATATGAAGAGCCAGCAATTCACCGTAATTGGAAACATGGACCCTGAGGTTGTATTGAAAAAGCTGAGAAAGCTGTGTGACGCTGAGATACTCTCTGTTGAACTAGCAAGGAAGAACAAGGAACATATTGATATCAATGAGATATTCATTGATTTTGATATCGATGATATACTCTTTAATTCTGATATCGATGAGATACTTGCTAGAAAATATTAAATAACACTATAACCAGCTTAAATGTAATTTAATAAAATAAAAAGATTTATTAGCAAATATGAAAAGTTATTATTTTCAAATTTTATAACTGCTGATAATTAACTTGATGGAAGTTAGTTGAATAAGAGGAACTATTTGGGTTCTATCTTTGTCATATGAAACAACTCTCATTGTTTTACCATCAAAGAAAGTGATGTGAGAATATGAAATATGAGAAGAGATGGATTGAGAAAATATGATTAAAAAACTTATTCTCTCATTATAGTTATCATAGATCAAGGTAAGTCTTTCTTACTATTAAAGTGCATGTGAGAATCATAAATTTCAAGATCCTAAAACATGTATAAATTATTGATAGGCGATTGAATGAAATAAATAACTTATAATATTTTCTGATTCTAATATCGATCAGATACTCTGATTCTATTATGGTTAAAATTTATTATAAAATATAAATTATTAAATTTGGAGTAGGTGGATTCTTTATATCTATATATAATATTTATTTAAGTCGATGTCATATAAAATATAAATTATACTTATGTTTTGATATTTTGTAATTTATTTACCGTATAATAAGTGTAAAGTAATATCCGATGTTTTACTTAAAAGATTTGACCTAGTTGTAATTAGGTAAATTGGTGATTTTGATATTTTTCATATTAATAATATTATTGTATAGTGACTTGTTTTATATCAATTGACGGCTGTCTTTTGTTTAAATAAACGAGTCAAAGTAAATTTTTTTTTTTCATAAATAATGTCCAAATTTTAAGAGCTTGACTCGGCTCGGTTATTACCTGTGACTCATGTTAATAAAAATATCTGTAACGTAGCCAATTAATAATCAATATTTACGAAAACCGAAAGATTCCAACATCTCGCAAAATGTCATTTTTAGAAGGAAAACTTATATTAAAAGAAAGTCACATTGCTCATTTATTAATCCAAAGTTTCCAACAACTCACAAAAGCTAAAAACATGGGTGTATCGAGAAGAAGACCTTGATAAAAACAAAGTAACAGTGGCCAATTATTAATTACTAATGCAATGTTTTAACCAGAGGGAAGAAAAATAGAGAGAAAAAACGATAATAAATTATCAATAATGGTTATGTTTGTTTAAATTTAAAAATAAGTGCTTAAAAGATTTAAATATGTATTTTTTTTAAAAATAATTTTTTGAAAAGTAGATAGATATTACTTCTTAAAAAAAAAAAGAAAAAAAAATTATTTAAAAATGTTTTAAAAAAACATATTAAAAAATAAATAAAAATACTTTTTTTATTAAAAAATACTTTTAGAGGAAGAAAGTTTAAACAGACATATGGAATATATATTTTATTTAGCTAATGAGAGAGTAAAAAAGAAAAAAGAAATGTCTACTTGTATTTTTATATAATTTTTAAAAAAATAAAAAACAAATTAAAAATAATATGACATTTTTGCAATTAAATTTTTTAAGATTTTTTAATATTTCATTTTTCACTATTTTTTATCAAAATTAATTAAAAATTTTGATTAAATATATTGTACTTATGTTCTTTTATTTTTATCAATCAGTAGATTGTATCTTCTTATTTTAAAATATAAATATTTAGTCTCCATAATTTTAAAGTTATAAAATTTTAATCTTAATGTTATTTTTACATCTATTGAAAGTTAAATTTTAATGGTGACCCGTAAATTTTTTAAATATGTTATTTAGTGAAATAATATTTAGAGATAATATATATATATATATATATATATATATTTATTTTCATTTCTATTTATTTTAACAAATAATTGATATTTATTTTATTATTAAACTTCATTTTCATTTTTTTAATCTTTTATCTCTAAATATTACATCACTTAATGTGACACCCTTTTACTCTAAAAGATTTAGTAAATAAATATAAAAAGATTTTTGAAATATAAAATAATCATAATAATTCATTTTATAAAACATGTAAAAGGGTTCACATCTTTATGTATCATTTAAAATAAAATATATAAAGTATTGTTTCAAAAGAAATAACAACAACCTCTTAAATCAATAATGTTATGGTGATAAAACATAGTTGAATAGAAGTTCAACTACTAAAACACTATTAATTATAAAATTCAACCTAATGTTACACTATTATAGTAAGACCGCTTCTTTATAATTCTACTTCCTTAAACCCATTATCATATATTTGTTCTATTCCTACAAATGACGTTCAACTCAAACACAAATAATACAAATACTAAGAGTGAAAATATATCTCATCCATAACAACATATATAAAGCATAAGGATAGTGACACACACCATCCATAAAATAATTAACTCATATACATACACTTTCATCGATTCCTCTCATATAATATTAATAACAAGTTAACACATCACATTCCATTTATCACCATCATTCTATCAATAACAAATACATCATATTCATCAATTAAAACTCATGAAATATATGTTCCTGACTTTAAATGTATGTGGTATCGATCTCCTCATCATCATCATCGAGTGTACAAAATAACCTAGAAATAATATAACTAGACCACCTCATCGAATAGTATATGAACCACTCTACAACACTAATCCCCCTCAAACCCACCTCAATAGGAGAAGTCGATCATGGTATTGTTGAAGTGTTACAACTAGCCATAGTAACCTCCCATTCTTGATAGAAGTTTCCCCACCATAACACCATCAGACATAGGTAAATGACCTATCATATCTCATATGCATAAATTTACATGCATTATCTCACGAAACAAAACATGAATGCATGGACTTAAAACACTCAAACAACAAAACAATATGCAATGATCAACTCCTCAAGTGTTTGTTTGCAACACTTGACTTATTTATCTTATCTCATTACAATATTTATTATAATATGTATATATCATTACACTTCAACATTTCAATGTATCGTTACATCCCAATATATTACTCATAGCAACTTAATACATTGTACATCAATATAATTCTCACATCAATTTCTTCTCATATGCACATTATTAATTATTATTATACGTTCTCATCAAATACTATAAAATTTATCATTATAACATTATTATCATAATAACTCAATCATAATAACATAATCATTGAATCTTAAATATCATCACACATCATAATATTATACGTGTTATTACTCATTTTAATACTCCCATCATTGATGAACAAATTGTGAATCAATATTAAAATTTAACATATAACGAATATCACATATTGATGATAAAACTAATATTTCATAATTTTAAATTAAGAAACGAAAATCTTTAATTTAAATTAGAAGATTAAAATTGCATATTGACAAAAAAAAAAAAAAAGTACAATATAACCTTACATTTTTCTTATATTGTAGTCGATGCTAACAGCAACAAGCTGGACTTACAACAGGTGTATTTCCCTACTGGAATTGTGGTGTTGATAACCACTGAATTGCCAACACGGGAAAATAAGGATGATGACTTCAGGATTACATGCATGATGGATTTGAATATTAGGATCCAGGATCATCTGTTGCCTTGGCAAGTCATTTGCAGCTATGTCGGATATTACACGATATTTTCATCATTTGACATTACGAGAATTGCAATGCAAATAGTTAAGGAATGTCATGGTCATCTTCTTGCCATTGTCCTTGTGGCAAATTACTTGAAAAGTACGGATGAAGTTAAACAGTGGGAACTTGCTCTTGACAAATTGAGCAGCCTGAACCCTTCCTATGATTATCAAGGTAGTGATCAAATTGGCATTAGTAGAGTCATGGTCCATGCATTCGTAAATATTATTTGGGAAGACATTAATCATGGAGAAAAGCTTTGCCTTGAACGCATGTTGTTTGTTCACAACATTAAAATCAGAGTGCAACGTGACGTCTTGGTGTCTACTTTGTGTACGACTTTATTAGGACATGCAAGAGAAGCGAATTTAGCACAACTTCACATCAAAAAGTTTCTAGACCATTTTGTCTTGTTGGAATATGCAAGTGGAGAAGTTTATGTGCCGGTAGAAACCTATGATATAATAAAATCATTACACACCTCCAATCCTTCAATCGTAAGTCACGGTGCATTAGGATTAACGGAGCCACCCTACATTGGACGATGGCATGGCCTTATTCGAATAGAACTGATGGACAATAAAATATGTGAGCTACCACAATCACCAGATTGCCCTAAACTCGAAGTGTTGTTGTTGCAGGGCAATGCTGATTTGTTGGATATTCCTGACTCATTTTTTGACCACATGCCTCTGCTACAACACCTGGACTTATCCTACACCAGTATAAGGGATTTGCCCCCATCTGTCTCCAAACTCACACAACTCAAGAAATTTTATCTTAGGGGCTGTGATCTCTTCATGGAACTACCCCCTCAAATTGGACAGCTAAAGAATCTCCAAGAATTTGATCTTGATCACACTTTGATAATCCATTTGGCAGAAGAGATCAGAGAATTGATCAACTTGCAAAGCTTAACTCTCTGCTTTGATAGATACCATCATTTACTTGGTCATTGTAAAAAAAGCAAGAAAAATTCCAATTCCACAATAATTCCTCCAGGAGTGATATCAAATCTTATTCAATTGAGTTATTTAAGCATCAATGTTGACCCTGAAGATGAGGGATGGAATGAAAATATTATTAGTGTTTTGATGGAAATTTTTGGATCAGACACGTTGGAGACAGTGAATATATATGTCCCAAGGGCTGAACTTTTGGAACTCATTCCCTCCACAAGATTCCTCAATTTCAAATTGGTTGTTGGTCATCATGTGAAACGGTTCATATCGCGTGTAACACCTGAATTGGAGCAAAAATTCGAAAATTGTGACTATAGTATAAAGTTTGTTAATGGTGAAAATATTCCAAATGGAGTGAAAATGAATCTTGGACATTTCAAGGCCTTGTACCTAGACCGACATATGACCATCAAAAATTTATCTGATTTTGGGTTGAGGAATTTATTTGGGCTACAAGTATGCATATTGGCAGAATGTAATGAAATGGAAACAATTGTTGATGGGGGTTATTTACATGATGAGCATGCTCTTCCAAATTTGGAGTTTTTGAGTATATTCTATATGAAAAATTTAAGAAGCATTTGTGAAAGCCCTGAACACTCCTTTCTCCACTTGAAATCTATAGCATTGCACACTTGCCCCATGTTAACTACCATCTTCACCTTAGAGTCTCTTTACAACCTTCCTTTATTGGAGGAGATTATTATTGAAGACTGTCCAAAAGTGACCACTCTTATAAGTCATGACTCACCAGAACAAAAAACAATGGCTTTCCTCCCCAGGTTGAGAATGATAACACTTCTCTACCTTCCTGAGTTGGTCAATATATTTAATGGTTTGCATGTTGAACAGGCTTTAGAAAAGATGGTATTTTATTATTGTCCAAAACTCCAAAGCCTTTCGAAATGGGAATTGTCAAGCAAATCCTTGAAGATTATCAAAGGAGAAAACAAGTGGTGGGAAGCATTGAAATGGAATGTAGCGGAGTGGGGGGATGCAGGTCGACCCATTTTTCTTGAACCAATTTTTTCTCCAATAAATGAAGAGGCTGACATATTAACCCAACTAGCTGCACATCAAGGTTTCATGTATTTGGTAATTTTTAGTTATCATCTTTCCAAATTTCATGATGTTGGTGGTAAGCAAATGATTATAATAAATAAGTAAAATTTCGTATCAACCATTCTTGATTGATCACGAGTAAAAGTATATCACCGTTTAACTCTTGCTTCTTTTTCTTTTTTACTATGATCGTCCCTTGTTCTTAACATCTTTTTAATTTTATTGCTTATTTCCATTTCAGCCAATTTCAAGTTCTGGACGGTTGATGGCAAAGTCATCTTTGAAAGAACCAGTTTTGTCACCTTTAGCCCCTGTTCCATTATTGAATCATTCAAAAGGTGAAGTCCAAAAGCAGAAAGCCGTTACTGAGCTAACCATGGACCAATCGGTATCAGTAAAGGTAATAAGGAGGTTTGAAATGCCTCATCACCGCTCCTGATTCATTGCTTTTGGTTTCGTTACATGCACAACCTGGTTTGCTTATTAGGTTAATTGACCCATTTGGGATCATTATAGAAACATATTGCTTACTTCATTTCATAATGAATGTGGTTATAGAATTTTTACATATATTAAAAAAAAAGTTTAGAAACAAGTGAAAAAAAATAATTTTACAAAATTAATTTTATGTATGTTAATCTTCTTTAATAGAAACAATCCAATACAATAATCAATTTTTAAATAATATTATGAGGAGTATGAATGAAAAATGATTAATTAATTCTACATTAATGTGATCCATTTTTGGAAATATACTCTAATATTTTACTCTTTAGCAGGAACTAGTGTTAAAGGTGCCCATATACGATGGCAAAATTAAAAATAAAGCCTTGAAGATGGTCGCTAGTCTTGAAGGTGTGAATTTAAATTTCAACCTGCTTTCACTTTCTCTTATAATTTCTATATTTTTTTAATGCTCAAGAAATCAAATAAAAAAGATAAAAGGAAAAATCAAAGAGAGAAAAACCACACGTTACGTTCTTATACGGCTAGTACCTAGAAGCTTTGTTGTATATAATATATAAGATTGGATGATTTAAGGAGTGATTATTGTAGGGGTTGTTTGTGTGGCTGTCGAGAGGCAGAAATTCACCGTAACTGGAAACATGGACCCTGAGGCTGTATTGAAAAAGCTGAGGAAGTTGTGTGACGCTGAGATACTCTCTCTTGGACTAGCAAGTAAGAACGAGATAGTACTCTATGAAGAATCAACAAGGAACAAGAACAAGGGACATACTGATATCAATGAGATACTCTCTGCTGAAGCAACAAGCAAGAACAAGGGACATACTGATATCTCTCTCTTGGACTAGCAAGGAAAGACATACCCATAAAATTGTTTAAATTAATAAAATACAGTGTTAAATAATTCATTTTATAAAACTTGTAAAAGGATTCACATCTTTATTTATCATTTAAATATATAAAGTATTGTTTCAAAAGAAATAAAAACAACCTCTTAAATCAATAATGTTTCGGTAATAAAATATAGTTGAATAGAAGTTCAACTACTAAAACACTATTAATTATAAAAATCAACTCTAATGTTACACTACTATAGTAAGACCCCCTCTTTATAATTTTACTTCCTTAAACCTATTATCATATATATGTCTTATTCTTACTAATCACGTTCAACTCAAACACAAATAATACAAATACTAGGAGTAATAATATATCTCATCCATAACAATATACGAAGCATAAGGATGGTGACACACATCCATAAAATAATTACATTATGCACATACACTTTCATTGATTTCTCTCATATAATATTAATAATAAGTTAACACATTACATTTCATTTATCACCATCATTTAAAATTCATTAAATATATATGTTCTTAACTCTAAAAGCACGTGATATCGATCTCCTCCTCCTCATCGAGTGTACGAAATAACCTAGAAATAAAGCCCTTCTCTGGCACCCCTAGTCAACATGGGAAATTGTGATCCGGTGGAGTGGCACATATAAAGCCCGACAAGAGCAAAAGTAAAACAAGAGGCTACATCGGAAAAAACAATAAAAAATAATTCATCTACATAAATATATAAATAAAATTTTACATCATTAAAAAAATAAATTTATAAACACATAAATATTTTTATGTTAATGAAAAGCAAATTCGGATTTCAACTTTAAAGCCAAAGTGCCGAAGAATCTATTCATTTTAAAAACAATAAATTTAACAAGAGAAATTATATGGTACCCATATTATTTGAAAGGGTACCAGTACAATTTTTTATTTGCCTTAATTAAGTGCA